ATGGTTTTAAGACATTGCTCAAAACTGCTCTGAAATGAAAAGAGTCCTCATTAGCCAATCTAAATGAATAACATGTTTGCAATTAACTACATAAATATTTCCTGTTATACTTGTAACACTCTAGAGAGGAACATATAATGAGAATTCAAAGAGTAATTCCTATACATGTTTGGCATCATTTCTAGGAATTAGAGAAAAAAAAAAAAAAAAAAAAATCAATCAAGGCATTAACAGGGACTCGAAGTGCTTTCTACAAGAGATAAGCAATCTCCATAACCCATGGTCAGAGCCACGTTTTAAGAGACTATATTCAAGTCAGCTAAGACTGAGACTATGTCTGCTCTCAGATATTCCAGAATCCACGCAGAGCCTAAAGCAAGGCCCACTTGGGCAAGGCTCTGCAGGCTTCTTAATGGAGAAGGATGTGCTGTAGCATTCCCCAGAGCAAAACGCTCACAGTAAAGCAGGGATTCCAGGAGTTACTGTTTTCAAGGCCCTTGGTATGTCTAAATGAGTAAGCCAATTTGAACTTCACTAAATCTGAACATGTTTATGAAATTTCGGTGCATTAACTCCATAATAGCTCATCCCTTATTTTAAAATGCTCTTTGAAATTTCCTTCCTCATGATTTTTTTCCATTTACCAGAGCCCAAATTTTTAAAAGATAAACACCCATCAAAACCTGTCTGTAGGTATTTGAAAATCAATTTCTGAATTTATGATTGAAAAAATGCCCTTCAAGCTGTTAAGAAATTGAACAAAATAGACACAGTATTATCTTAATTTTTATCTGAAAGACAGAAGGGAGGTGTGAATTTATATCAATTTATTCAGAGGAAGGCCACAAAACATTATTTCTTTTTACAGTCTTCCTTTACAAATTAAAGAACGTAAAAAGCAATACCTCCTACTTATAAAAATCAAGACAGACACAACCAGCAGTATCAGATTGACTTTTTTTCCCCAATATCAGATGGAGATCAGCAGTAGTGGATTACTGATGACTTTAAAGCATCTCCTCAGCAGACTCATTTCCCATGCTGTATAGCAGCCATTGAACACACTCACTGGCCAAACCAAGCATGTAACAATCACTTAAATCAAACTGAATGGACACTCTTGAAAGCCTATGAACTTTCTCTGCATCATGCCAGAACTCCCATTGCAAACACATGCAATACCACATCCCTGAGCGTTTGAAACAGGTTTCCCTTTTTCAATTCCAGTTTAGCAGAAAGCTCTGGTTGCACAGCCTGTGAAGTACAATATTTAATGGCTAATGGCCAAGACAGACTGCTTTTTGATACTAAAAGGTGTATAAAATTGATTACTGAAATAAGCATTAACTGCTATATGGATGTAAGAATTGCATATTGCACGTTAGTAACACACAGACTAGAAAACATATTACCGTCCCCACTAATTTCATCTGCAGATCCAGGTGGCATGCAAGGAGAGAGAAAAACAGGGGGAGAGAGAAGGGACAGAGAAAGGGAGGGGAAAATATACTATTAAATTCATGAGTAATCCAAAAGTATTCAGATTGCAGTTATCTTATATACCTGACTCAAGAGAAACCAGAAAAGTAGTGGAATTTAAGACTTCTCACCTAAAACCCAAGGGACAAAGATACGTTCTGAGAAGCTTGTATGATGAAACAGAGTTAACGACTTTTAAACACAACATTACAAAAAATTAAATTTGGAAGTGGAACTAGTGCTTTTAATGCATAAGGAAATATCAAATCCTGTTGTTCTTTAATCCTCTGCTACTGAATAGATCTCCTACAGCCAGATGGGTCGTTTCAATTTGGCTTTGCACATACAAATGTGATTTTTGATAACTAGAGTTGGGGTTGACTATTTTGGAAGGAAACACACTCCTGTGCTATCACAAAAGCAAGAGTAAGAAATGGAACAATCTAAGCAATAATCATACACAGCATACTAGTTATATTGAGCAACTCTACATGAAAGCTGTTCAATGAGCACCACAGCCTGCATTTCTGTAATGGCCCCATTCCACACCAATAACTACAGCACAAGCTGATGCATTTTAGATATTACTGATTTCAAAAATGCACATTAATATTGTAAAAAATAATGCACCTGTTACTCCAATTCTTCTTACACCTAACAAAGCCAAACTGGTCCAGACCAAGTGCTGAACCAGTATGAAACCACAAGCATCACTGTATTCAGTATTTAATTAAAAGTGATCCCAGCTGATGCTTACTGTTGCTATTCTACTTCATTCATGAGCATGCTGTATCAGGGGTCCAAGAATGAAGTCAAAATCCATTAACAAAAAAAAACCCCAAGAGTATACATGGCCAAAATAGATATACAAATGAAAATATTAATGCTTGTAATTGCAGCATACAATGTTTAAAACAAAGCCTCTCATTAAAACATGGACCAGCAAGTTTATGACACAGCACGAATATCCAATTTGGTAGACTGAAGGGGTAGCAGAAATTTAATGAGATTATTCTTGGAACTCTGTTTACCTGAGCCTGAAATATTAAAAAAAAACCAACCAACCAGTAACTGAGTTAGTATTTCAGGGTTTGGGTTAATAAGGCAGCCTATACAAAGAGCAGTGCAGTACCCTTAGGTGGCGGCTCATGGGAACAGAAGACGAAAGGGAGAAAGCGTCTAGCTTTCTTTACTTTATGCTGACAGTGATTGACTCCTTTACAAAGAGGCAAAAAAAAAGGAAAGAGAAAAACAAATTATTTAGAAATAAAAGAAAAGAGGCTGGAGAGAACAATTGCAGTGAATGAACATAAAAATAAAGATTTACATTACAGTTCTGTATATGCAAAATGGATATACGAATGTATTTGAAACTCTAAAGCATAATTACTTTCCTTCAAATTCTTTACTACAGCAGTAAATTATTCCCATTTCACTTTTAAAAAGTGAGA